TCATTTCTAAGAGGAGGAGAGAAAGGAGAACACCCACGAGGGGCCCTGGGCCATGCGCCCCCAAGGGGCTCTGGGAAAGCGGGTGGCTGGGCTCAGGGCAGGGGGAGGCCGGCCCCTCCTCTAGGACAGTCTGGCTCCTTCCAGCCCAGCCAGGGAGCTCGAGAAACAAATCCTGTCCAAAGCTGCTGCGGCGAAGCTGTTTTTGTTTTGTTTTGTTTTTTTTGTTTTTCTCCGGTACCGGGAACCGAACTCACGACCTTGCGCTTGCCAGGCAGGCGCTTTTGCCACTGAGCTAAATCCCCAGCCCCCGAAGCTGTTTTTGTCTACCCTGAAAAACCCCACGGCCCGCTCATGGTGAGCAGCGGCGTGCTGCTTGTCCAGCATGTGCCGGGCATCTCATGCATCTGCCTGAAACGCTAGGCCCGGTCATCTCTGCTGCCCGCTCGGACGTGAGGAGCTGATGCCCCGCAGGGGTCCAAATCACACTGGGTCACCGATCTGACTGCTCAAGGGGATCACTGGGAGCTTTGATAAACACCTGGCACTGGCCCCCCAAATCCCAGCTTAGTTAGTGCGGGGAGGGTCTGGGATGGGAGTTGTACAATCTTCTCGGTGACCTTAGGGCCAGCCAAGGTTAGGGGCCATTGACGAGTGGGTCCTAAAGGACACTTTCTTTTCTTTTTTGCAGTACCGGGAATTGAACCCAGGGCCTTCACCCCGGGCTACACCCTGCCCTTTTTATTTTGAGATACTAAGTCTCTAAGTTGCCTGGGCTGGGCTCAAACATGAGTCCTCCTGCTTCAGCCTCCCAGAGTGCTAGGGTTGCAGGCGTGCGCCTTCACACCTGGCTCTGATGGACACTTTTGAACAATGGGAAGAGAATATCACACTTCTAGTGCAGAAGATGGCAAGCATTCTGTTGGGCAGTGTTTCTTCTAGATTTGTGCTGGTGCCAGGTCACAATATAAATAACCTTCTGCAGGTTTCAGCCCTTCGTTCTGGAGGCGCCAGGGTCACAGTGAGCCTCCGCTGGGTGGTTCTTCCTGTCACCATGCTGCCCTCTTTTTAGACGCCTCGGCTCCTACCCAACCTGTCTCAGCCTGTCCAGCTCCCCCTCAGCCTCAAGCGCTAGCTCAGCTGCCACCTCCAAGAGGCCCTCCGTGATTGCAGGCGTTGCCTCCGCCTGTGCCTTTTGATTTTCTAACGCCCAAGAGGCGCTCTCTTACATTAGCATATTTGGGGAACACCTGCAAGTTCCCGTAAACAGGAGGCCCCCGCAGGGCAAGAGCAATTTCCCGAGGTATCCTACCTCTGGTCTTCTGCAGGGCCCGGGGCGTGCTCAGCAACCCTGGGAAAAGAAGGAAAGGATGGAAGAGGGAAGGGATGGAAGGAGGGAGCTCCCATGACCCTGGCACCTGGGGATGAAGAGTTTCATTTAAAAAAAAGAGACAAGCTTCTGGTTATAGGCAGTCATGTGGTTATTTATGCACACAACCTGGGGTGATCGAGCAGCCGCCTTAAAACAGGGCCACGCAAAACAAGTTGCAAATTTGGATCGAAATGCGAAGACCACCCACTTTCCTTTGCATCAGAGGTCATCTGTGAGATTTGTAAAGGCCGAAGGAAAAAGAACCCTCTCCTCACAGCAAGCCAAGCTCGGAGGCCCTCGGAAGTAAAGCCAATAGGAGACGTGCAAAATCTTTATCGGAGGACAAAAGACCAGAATACACATATAGAGAGAGGCTGTGTCTCTAAATGCGAAGCTGTCATTTCAGTCCAAGTCCCAGCAGAGGTTTTCATGTTAGGGGTAGGGACGAGAATATGTTATACTAGAAAGGGAGAGGAACGCTCGCTGCGTGAGCTGTGCTCCTCATCACAAGGCTGTCATGGTTAAACAGTGCAGCTTGGTGCAGAACTAGACAACTCAGCCCACGGAAAGACGAGAGACCCCAGGGTGAGGCTCCTGGGCCCCAGAGCTTGGATACAGTATCGGTGGCACGTTTGAGGGCCATGCCCTGTTAGGCGGTACATGGAAAAATGATTAGGAAATTGGGTGTCAGCCAGGCATGGTGGTGCACACCTGCAATCCCAGCACTCTGGGAGGCTGAGACAGGAGGATGGAAAGTTTCAGCCCAGTGGGGGCAATTTAGTGAGACCCTGTTTCAAAACAAAAAAATAAAAAGAACTAAGATGTTGCTCAGTGTGAAGGCTTTGGGTTCAATTCCCAGTACTGCAAAATATAGATAGAGAATAGATAGATGATGGATTGATAGATGGAGAGTAGACGTATAGGTAGAGGATAGGTGATAGATAGATGGTAGATAGGTAGACAAATATACGGATAGATAGATGATAGATAATAGGTAGATGTAGACGTAGGTAGATAATGGGTAAATTGGATCTCTGTCTCTAATTACCAGCCTAATAAATGCTAGCCAGCTGACCTAAATATGAAAGAACAACTTGAAAAAAATCTGAAAGGCAAAGTAGAAAACACCATTGTTACAAAGATTTAAAAACACAAACTGTAAAAGACGGATACATGTGGCTACATGAACTTTCAATTTTTCAGAATGAAAAGAACCAGCAGAAACAAAATAAAGAGGTAAACCGTGGAGTTGGGGGAGATAGAAGCAATATCTGTAACTGACAGTGATCTGTGTACAGCATATATAAAGAACATCTAGAAGTTAAACAGGATGACAGCAGAAAAAACAGGCGGAGGTCAAGCAGGCAAGCGAGGGGAGGAAGCAGAAACAGATGATAAACACAATGCTTTGCCCCGCTGGTAAGTGGGACGCGCAGATTAAACGGCAAAATCGATGAAGTAGAAAGGATTTCACAGTCACTAGACTGAACTACAGCTTTCAAGTTTGCCAGCACCCAGGGCTGATGACATCGAGAAGAAATCAGAACTCACACGGGCTGCCGAGGTTAAAAGGGCTCAAGCATTTTGGAGGGAGACTTGGCAAAGTTAACGTGGCAAATGTACTGGGGTCTGCATGCAGAACCCTGGTGTTCCCGTCCCCTGAGCGACAAACCAAACTGCGGCGCAGCCTTGGTGGGACATGCGGGAGTGAACACATTGAGCAGACCCCATACTGGCTTTTGTACTGTTCGGTTCTGTTCACTTTTATTGAAACAGGATCTCCCTGTGTAGCCCAGGCTGGCCTCAAACTCGTGGCGCGATCCTCCTGCCTCAGCCTCCTGAGTGCTGGGATTACAGGATTATGTCACTACCATGTGTGGCCTGGTTTTTGTTCTGCTGCTAACTGAAGCTAGAGCTCTACACAAGTCACTTTTCCTTCAGTTTAGAATGCTGTCCCTAAATATCCTTGGGCCTCTTCCTCCCCACGCAGTCCGTGTGCAGATTCTAGATGCTCAGAGGGGAGGCATCTGATTCAGACCTCGCAAACCTTCCCCTTAGTCTGCGTTGTCAAGGAATAGTGTGGTTAACGCAAAGGAGGGTAGACTTTCACCAGATTGGATTCCAATCTGAGCAGTACGCAGGGCTGTTGTGGGACCTTGGGTGAGTTACATAGGTGTCCTGTGACTCAGTTTTCTCCTCTGTACAGTGGGGATAATGACAGTTTTTCTCCTCAGAGCATTGGGGTTTTTTTGGTACTGGGAGTCGAATTCATGACCTTGTGCTTGCCAAGCGGGCGCTTGTGCCGCTGGGCTATATCCCTGGCCAGAGCATTGTTTGAAGGACTAAATGAGTTCATGTGCAAAGACAGATCGGGGCCTGCTGTAAAGGAGGTGCTGGCCACTGGTAAATTAATGGCAGCGAAGGCAACAGAGCCGGACTGAGGACATAGGACCAGTGCAGAGACCCAGGCCTCCCACCTACCCTGAACTGCCGCCATAATCACAGGCAGTGCAGCCTGGTCCTCGGTCCCACAAACGGTGTCTTTCTCACAGTTCTATTTCTTTCTTCTGTGGCTCATGCCGTCACGGCCTGGCCAAGTCAGTGCTGGGCACAACGTATCCAACTAAATGGACTGAATTCATTCCGAAAAGTCTTTAAATGCTAGAGAGTGAAGACACCGTTGACTCACCCAGACAATGTATTTTAAGAATTTGATCTATATAACCAGGCCCAGCGGTTCACATCTATAATCCCAGCATATTGGGAGGCTGAGGCAGGAGGAGCAGGAGGGTCACATTCAAACCCACCCAGGCAATTTATCGACTTAGAGAGACCCTGTCTCAAAATCAAAGGGCAGGGAGTGCTGGGGATAGAGCTCAGTGCCTGAGTTCAATCTTCAGTACCAGGGCAGAGGGAGGGGTGGGGAGACCTCCAGAGCTTGGTGTGGTGGCGCACACCTGTAATTCTGGCTTTCTGGAGGCTGAGGCAGGAAGATCACTATAAGTTCAAGGTCAGTCTGGACTACACAGCAAGACCTTGTCTCAAACAAACAAAGAAACCAAAACAAAACAAAAGAAGATTCTACCCAGGGTCAAAGCCCCGGCACGCAGGCGCCCTGTTGGGCTGGGATAAGGTTCGCGTCACCAATTCCTCACACAGGGCAGCCGGCCCTCACGCATCTCCTTGACGCTGCCATGGTGGCGTACCCCAAACCTAGCCACCCACTTCTCCTCAGCCCTCCTTTCTCCCTCTCTGGCCCCCTCCCGCCATGCCTCCAGACGCGGCTGTCATCTTTCCAGCCACCTGGACCGGGTGAAATGTCCATGCTCGCCCCGCTGACCCGGATTTCACTGCTGCTCCTCCTGAGTGTGTTTGCATTTTAAAGGAGGCCACGCGGAGCTGCCCTTAACCCTGAGCGTGACTGTGGCCCACGTCACTTTATGGAGTCTTCCTTTCACTCCCCCAGTCCGGGCCGCGGCTCACACCCAGGGCACAGAGGGAGAGGGTGATGTGGCTGCCCCAGCGCCTGGGGCCCACCCCGTCCTTCCCAGCCTCCCCGGCCCGGCCCTGTCCCCAGACACACCCGCAAGATTCCTCAGGCTCCGCGTGGCGGAAGCCGCCCGTACCTTACCCATCTCGATCCCACAGATGACCAGGGCTGCGATCACCGCCCCTGCCGAGGTCCCCGCGAAGCGGTGGGCCGTGTCCAGCATGCGGGGGGCCAGGTCTCGCAGGGCGTCCACCGCCCCGGCCTGGTAGTAGGACAGGAATCCGCTGCCCGAGAAGGAAATGGAATGGGGGGTGTCCGGGTCGCCCTTGAACACCTGCTCCTCCATCTCCTCTGCCTCTGGCCTCTCACGGGGAGGAGGATCCGCCCTTCAGCGCCGGCCGGCTCGGCTGGGCCTGCCAGTCCCTGTGGGAACACGATCTGGCTTCGTGGCCAGCCCGGAGCTGGAATGTGGCCGTCTCTACCCAGTCAGCTGGGGCACCCACGGCTGGCTCCGTCAGCGCCTGGGCCTGTCAAGCTCCGCCAGGAAGCAGCCTCAAAGGTTGCCGAGCAGCGCTGTGCCTGGGAAGAGTGCAGAACGCCAACACCCCCAGGGGCGCGGGCCTGCAGAGTCCCTGCTGCTTACGGTGAGGCTGGGACTCCTCAGCCCTCCGCCTGTGCGGGGCACACCCGGGCGCACTCACAGCTGCCTGCAATGGGGCATGCCCACAGAGGCGGGCACTGCTCGGCCCAGCTCAACAGGCCCCACGCATCCAGTTGCAAAACCTCTGCCCTTGGCTCTGCGTGCTCCGCCCTCCCGGGCATGCTGCTGCCGCTGCGTGCAGCAGTTAGTTATAGGCCACCTCCCCTAGGGCTGCGTCCCCTCCCCAGGAGGCTGGGCTGCTGTGGCTCCCGCTTTCAAAGGGGACACACAACTCCCACGGCCCTCCCACCCGGCACCCCTCCGGGCCATGGGGTGCTCGTGATGTGTTCCAAACCATTTTTATTGGTTCTGACACAGGCGCTCCTCTGTTGATTGCTTGTTTATCCTCGCCTTAGGATTGACGGATGGACAAAGCTGTAAAGAGAAGTTTGGCCTCAGGGCCCACCTGCCACACCTTTTTACCCCTCACGCCCCTGCGCCTTTCTCTGTCCCCCATTCTGTGTCCCCTCACCAACCTCCAAACCCTCCTGCAGCTCAGGAAGAACTCGGCCTGAAACCTAGATCCTTCCAAGTGTCTGGGACTTCAGAGTGTCCGCTCTTCTTCCCGCTGTGGAATGAGAAACTTGAGGGGCTGATATTTAGCCCCACAGGGAAACAGCTTGGCCGTCAACAACCCTGGGGTCGGGGCAGCGTTTCTGTAGACGCTTTGGCGGGCAGAGGGCACATGGGGCCTGGGTTAGTCCCAGAGGCTGCTCCCCATCTCCCGTGCAGGAGGGACCCTTCATGGTCCCCAAAACTTCATAACGAGGCACTGGTGGTCACATCCACATCTCCCCGTGTCTGCCCTCCAGAGAGCACAGAGGGCAGTGATATGGCGAGCTCATCAAGAAAAGCACTCACAAGAAAACCAAAGGGACAGGAACGAACAAAGCTTTCTTGAGCCGGCTGATGGACAGTCTCTAACCAGGAACCGGAGAAGATATCCACACTGATCTGGGTCCCACCTTTAGTTTAAGTACATTTTAGGTTTCTATAGTAACCATTACCTCATTTTTGGGAATCTTACAGAATGTCACACAATTACCACAAAGTTTGCTTTTCCAGCAGGTCAGACAGCCAAATTCCAAATGACCACCGCAGTGCAAATTTTAGCCCACTTCCCAATGTGTCCTGTTTGTTCTGTTCCCGTTTTATGACTCTGCTCTGCTCCGAGTTGATAACTAACCGAGGTGACTATGGTGAACTATAGTTTAAGTGAACTTTAAGTGACTTCTCTTAATATGGAGTTGAAGGCAGAAAATGGAGTCTCTCTGGTCTTATCAGCAGGATGAGAAGTAGAAGGGAAATACCAAGTCCATACCTAATTCCCAACCCAGCCCAGGCCCCTCGTCTCTGGGCGACACCAGTGGCATCCCTAATCCTGAATGCTCCCACTCACCCCGATCTTCCAAACTGGAATCCCGCAAGCACAGCACTGCCCAGGATTCAATTAGGAGGGAGTTTTCTGTCTTGGGTAGTTCTGGGCATATAATTAGTTTTGGAAGACAGCTTTAGATTTGATGTGTGCGTGTACGCGTACGTGTATGTGTGTGTGCGTGCATGTGTGTGTGTGTGCCGTGCACGCACCAGGCATGCCGAGATCTCAGGCATATGCTGGGGGAGGAGGCAGGGGGTGTCACTGGGCCAAGCCATCGGCTCCGGAGCACCTCGACCCTCCGGAGAAGCTCCACCCGCAACTCAGACAAAGGCTTCTTGGAAACCAGACAGGCAGGTGTGAAATATCCGGAGACCTGGGCACGGCAATCTATAGTTAAGAACCAAGCTATGCTGGGCCAAGGTTGTTGCCAGAAGAGCAAAGAGGCGATGGAGAGCGATGGGCTGCAGGTGGAGGGGTTGACGGGGCGGATCTGCAGAGCTACGGGCTGGGGACAGGAAGAGGCTGGGGGAGGAGGGAGGCATCTGGACAAGGGCGGCTAGGCCCTGGCCACACTCAAGGTGAGGCAGGAGGATCGCAAGTTCGAGGCCAGTCTGGGCTACTTATCGAGACTCTGTCTCGAAATAAAAGATAAAAAGGGCTGGGGCTGTAGCTCCATGCTCCCTGGGTTCAGCCTCTAGAGCCACAGAAGAATAAAAAATGTACAAACGAGGGAAGTGGGGAGGGACTCCGATGCACAGAAGGAAGGTTTTGGTCGGACAGATCTGAAGCTGGCTCCCCGCTCTGCTGTGTACAAGCAGGGCTTGGCCTGGACGATCCTCTCAGCCTCTGTGGTCCTTGTCTGGAAAAGAGCCACTTAACTTATCCTCCTGCTCCGGGGTGGTTGTAAAGCTGACAGATAATGGCTGTAAATGCCGGGCAGCTGGTACCCCTGTCATTAGCCGAGGGTGGTAAAGTCCAAGGGACGGGGACGGATGGAGCCCGGAGATAAGGCGGGATGGCTGGTTCCGAGCGTGACACGCAGGGGGGCTTGGAGTCTTTTCAGGCAGGAGGGCCTGGGACGGGAGATAAGACCAGCACGGAGGGTACGGGGGGAGGGGGTGGTGGCCAGGACAGGATTACAGCTGGCCGAGGACAAGTTAATAAAGCCATTGCCACCGAAGACTCTTGGCACAGGGGACTGGTTGGATAGACATGGTGAGTCACAGCTGGAGCCTCATTTGCTGGTAAGAAGTGCTGGGGCCGACTTTGGCAGACTTGGGGAAGCAGGAAGGGACCCGGGAAAACTGGGTGGGGGCTGATTTTACTTTTAAGATGCCTCCGAGGCAGCAGCCAGACCTTGGCAGGGATGGCTCCGGTGTGGGGGCCAGCTGAGCGGGTGAGGTAGACACGGGGCCTACGGAAAGGATGGCAGCCGGGGTCGGTTTCTCCTGCCAACTCATCTCGGTGCCTGCAGTGAAATCAGAGGCAAGGCCACCTGGTCCATAAGGCTTGTGGGACCTGTGTTCAACGGGTGCCATGGTCTCCAGTTCCACGGGGTCACCAGAGGCCACGGTAGCGCCACACAACCTCCGTGCAGACAAACAAACTAGCTCACAGCCGTGCAGAAGGCCTCAGAGGAGGAGTGGAGCCAGGACCCTAAGTGCTTTCACCCAGAGCGGCTTTCACATCTGACGAGGGCTGGTGAGCTGGTGAGCCGAAGGCCTCGGGGCCAGAATCTCTGTCTCACCTTGCCTCGTTCCTGACGTTGTACTTAAAGCCAGGTGTGGTGGTGCACATCTGTCATCCCAGCAGCTGGGAGGCAGGAGGATCACAGGTGCGAGTCCAGCCCAGGCAACTCGGCAATTTAGTGAGACCCTATCTCAAAATTTACCAAAAGGGGTGAGAGGTAGCTCAGTTTGAAGGCCTGGGGTTTAACCCCCCAGAACCACAAAATAAGAAGTTCTAATGACATGGTAGAGGAATCATTTCCCAACATATCTGTATTTGACTTCTAAAATCCTCTCCTCTCCCTCTGAGGTTTTTTTTAAAACTGAGTCGAGATTTCTTGTATGACTCATCAGTCCCCAAGGAAATCACACTGGAGAAACTGAAATTGCTTAGCACACACTTCCAAAAAGACAACCCGAGGTAAACACACAGAGGAATCCGATGTTGCCACAAGTCTGAGGTGCGCTCGTATGAAGTATGCGAAGCCACCCAGGCTATTCTTGGGGAGGAAAACATCCAGATTCTGGGCTGGCTTCTCCAGGGCGGAATAGCATCTCTGCTTATATTGTGCAACTTGTGCAGTGCAGAACCGGTCATTACTTGCTGCAGTAGGGTATGAAGGTCACACCATGCCCAAAATACTTAACCTGGATTTAACCGAGACTTAACTTCCCATTTCTGGTAAATATAGACTGTGGCGGGACAAGTTAAATGCTGTTGGAAACAATCAGAAGAATTGAGATTGTGGAGGGCTGGTGCAGACCATGACTGGCTACACAGCAGCCGCCCCCAGCCCACCTTTTTCTGTCCAACTTCCTCTCAAGCAGCTAGAAAGGCCGATACAGTACTTGATTTCCCAGCCTCCTTTGCAGCTAAAGGTGCTCATGAGGCCCAGTTCTGGTTAACGTCTGAATCTTTTGTGGAAGTCTGGAATTTAAAAATATACAACTAAAGAGATAGAGAAGAAAGTCTGACCCAGTTGAGATAGAGACAGAGATGTCAGGTTGTCCTTTTGTATGACCTTGAAATCAATCATGCAGTCTTGTAGTATCTTTTTCCTTAATGAAGTAGTTTGAACAGACAGCAAAATACCAAAAATAGCATAGTAAACATCCACGTACCTACCAGCCACATGGACAAATCTTAGTACAAAATATTTACTACAATGTACTGCTTACAAACAATGCAAAAATATTTACTGTGAATATTTGAACAAATTTTAATATTTCATGGTATTTCGGCCAAACATTTCTTTGGCTTTAAAGAAATGAAACATCACAGATAGAGGTGAAACCTTTGAACTTTTTCCTAATCTCACCTTCTCCCTCCTTCCCATGGGAAACCAGGTTCCAAAGTTAAGAATCTTCTTGCTCTTCCATGTTTTTTACATGAGTTCTTTGTGGCCAATATGTAGTATTATTTTACAAATATCTTCAAACTCTACAGAAACAAACACATCACATTCATTTTACTTTTTTTTTTTTTTTTTTTTTTTTTTT